CCAGAGTGATCTTGGGAGCTAGGATTAGGGGGACCCTTGGGGATATAGACCCTCTCAATAAGGTCCCTTTTAAGAGAGCCAGAAGTAGGGTTCAGAAGGGGTACCCTTTAAGGGGTACCCTAATAATACTACCTAGATCTCACAAGGATGCAGTTTGGCCATGTTGTCCAGTGTCCAACAGGACAAGAAAGTTTGGAGTCCTCTACCCCGAGCCCTTAACCTTTATCCAGAGAACCCAATACCCCTTAATTAAGGAATATACCTTAAATTATAGGGGCCATACTATGATGATTTAAGGTATATACCTTAATAAAGGGTTCTCTGGGCAATTAACCCTAAACCCTGACCCAAGGGCACCCTTTCCAATGATCTCCGCTTTTTCCTCGCTCCGCAGACGCGGGCGAGCGCAGGTCCTCCGCATCGGCCGGTAAACCTCAAGTTGCGTGAAAGCTTCGGGTGTTTAGGGTTTCCTTTAGACTTAGAATAGGGTTCCTTTAAAGGGATCCTTAAAGGGTTCTATAAGAGATCTACAGTAGGGTTTTTATTAGGGGGTCTATGGCGCTTTACCACATGAAGTACACAGAGATGGTAGGCGGGCTAAGGAAACGAAAGCACTCCCGTGTCCTTGTGCTTAACACCTAGGTCCGATTTCACAAGCCGCTTGTGAGGCTTCAAAGTTTAAGAGTGCACATGGGAGCTTCCGAAAAATAGGGGTACCTTATTTTGGGGCCCTTATAGTAAGGATCCTACTATCTAGGGTACCATATTAGGGTCCCCTATTTTCGGAAACCCCCACATAGCTGCATCAAACACATTAGATGCTTCTGCGGCCTCCTTCGGGCACCCTCACAAGTCGTGTTTCGGAATTCAGCGTTTCCGTTTGGAGTTTAGGGGGTTCAGGGTTACGAATGTCTGAAGCGCAGAACGTCGACAAAGATTTAGAGACTGCCTTGTCCGTCATGCACCGCTCAAAAACTGCGGCGGCCGGACATGCACACCCTGGCCTCAGCAGCTCCACCAGCTCCACAGACTTTCAGAGCGTGCCACCCACGTAGCCCACTCACCCAACCCACCCACCCACCCACGCACTCACCCTTACTCTCCACAAACCACCCACCATAACTCAGATGATAATTGATACGGAATGGTGTGTATGAAGTTGAAGGTGATGTTGAAGAGTAGCGGGTTCTCGTTTGTCATACGCAAGCCCAGTAACGCGCGAGGGAGTCTGCTTGTGTGAAGTTGCGCCAGTCGGTGTCAGGGGGAAGCTAGATTGAGGGGTCAGAATCAGGCATGTCTCACCCTGAACCCTAAACAAGGGTCAAGGTTCAAGCTTGAGGCCTTGAAGCTTGGCTTTTGGCGGCTTGGCTTGGATGATGTAGGGGCCTGAATAATGGGGGGGGTTCCTTATTATAAGTATACTCTAATAGGCCTCAAAACCCCATTCTACTTGTCAAGGCCACTATATTGCTTTCGGGTTTCGAGTGTTCGATGTGTTGCAAGCCACTTCTCGCTGCAACTGCGCAGCAGCAGCAGCGGCGGCAGGTGCTCCAGATCCGTGTAAGCTGCCAAGATTCCAGTAGGACCTGCCAAGGCAAAAAGCTTAAGAGTGGCTCGGCAAACAGTGAGAATATGGTATAAGATACCTTTGCTATTTTCACAACCGTGCCTAAACCTAAACTCGAAATACAAAACTGAAGCCTCGGCAACTATTTTTGCGACTAGACACGAAGCAGGGCTGCCTCCTCTTCTTCGCTTTGCAACCAGTGCTATTCTGATGAGCATGTTCAATGCTCGCACCATCACTACTGCACCTATGTTCTATCTGACTGTGCAACCACCAGCACCAGGACCACCACCACCTCCACTGCCACTACCACCACTACTACCACCACCACCACCACCACCACCAACGCGGCTACCGACACTACAAGTAGAACCACCACCACCACCACCACCACCACGACTTCTCCTACTGCTATATGATACATTTCCGGTGTTACATTTTACGGCACCAGAAAATCTGTAGGCCTTGCTGCGTGAAGCACCGCGGCTGAGGGCTGACGGTGCAGAGTCTACATCGATTCTCTTACTGACTTTGCCTCCAGCAGACTAAGGCTGGGGTGCAAGGGTGCATGGCCCGAGAGCTAGGTGAAAGGTGCAAGGGGCTGCACGCTTATGCGAACTTGACCCGCCGGTTTACACTCTCTAAACCCTAGGGCAAACCTTCGTGGCGTCCAGTGGCGGGGTTGCATTTCAGTCGCCTTGTGCGAGCAAGGCTGCTAGAGCAAGATGTGGAAACGCTACCTTCAATCCTGCCTCAACCCCCAAAAACCCACTTAGGAGAGACATAAGGATAATAGAATAAGGAGCCCGAAAAAAGCAGGACCCCGGCACCTGCGGCAGGTTGTATTGCTGTTGAAGTTCGTGTGCGGCTGCCGGACACCTCCAACAGCCCACTTTTGCTCACCATGCGATGGCTCCAGGCCCTAAGCCCTAAAACCTAAATAAACTCTAAAACCCCAAGACCGATAACTAGTAATCAACGGCCCTTATGATCCTTGCAAAACGGATAACACCCAAAATCATGTGATTTTTACTGGGGCCCCTTAGATGAAATCCTTGTAGCAACCCTTATCGAGCCCTTAAAGCTGTGCTAAGCTTTCAGCCCTTTTGCAGACTACTGCTTCGGAGTCTGACTCCTGTGAAGAGTTCGGCAGACAACTTTGAGGCAAAGGGATACTTCTAAGTAGGGCTCATGGTTTAGAACTATGTTTGTTAGCGTAGCTATACGGGTTAGAGGTTTCAACTTGATGTAGAACCTCGGCTGATGTACTTACAATCGCACCTTAACCGCTGCTTATGCATCTTGCAGTACGCCATTAACCCTCGACTATGCAGTCTTGATATTGATTGGCTCCGAACCCTTGCAGGGCGTTTCAGAGACTGCTGGCGTTTACAAGGTCGGATCTTGCAGGAAGTGCTCGTGAAACATCATGGGTAGCCACCTGCTGTAGTTGCATCGTTTGCAGCCGCATTCGTAACCACCCCCTGGATGAACCAATTTAGCATCATTCTCGCTGCCTAGTTGACAGCTGCACAGTTGCAACCGAAACTAGCTCCTGTACCATGTGCCTCGGCTACGCCGGAGTCAACGATGCACAATGCTGCAGAGGACCTCAGACGCAACGTACTCGTGCAGTCGAGTTGGCTGACAACTGTACGAAACTTCTCCCCCGAGAAGAGCGCCGGCCGCGGAAAGTGACCACCAATCTTTTGTGGTCTTCCAGCGATAGCCACTTTGGCCATGGTAGCGCAGAATGCTGACCCTCCTCCTCCACTGTTGCTTCGGACCCCCCCGGGGCGAAGTAAAAATACACCTAACTTCAGTCCTGATCCTATATAAGAGCGACTCTGATGGCTAACAAATGACGACGGTGAGCAGGGAAGGATACGAATATCGTCAGCCTTCCTACCCGTAGCAAAAAACCCTCCACACAAAGGTGCCCTGCATCCACAGCAACAAAAAAACGGCCCGCAAGCCGCCCTCGCACCCTCAGCACAAAAAACAAAAACGGGCCCCGAAACCCGCAGCCAAAAAAAAAGCGCGCCCTGACCTGCAGCAAAGAGAAAAGGTGCCCCGCACCCGCAGCAAGAAAACACCCACGACAAAAAGGCAAACAAAGGTAAAGGCTGTGGAGGCCCTTTTTGTTTTTTTCTGTACGCTCGCGCCGAGTTCACTCACTCGCTGCTGCCCGCCGCCCCGAAGCACCCACAGCAAATTAGCACCCACAAAAAAGAAAAAGAAAGAAACGGGTTCCCGCTAGGCCCCAAACCGCCTCCTCCAGAACGAGCATTTCCTCACGGTCCTGCTCTAGCCATTCACCTTCCAGGTGCTCCACATGGGACATGGGGCCACGTCATAGAATAAAACAGAATCCCTGTCGACCCCTTGGATCGTGCAGAGTTCTTTGGGCCCCCTGAGAATCTTATAGAAAAACGGGTACTCTGCGTGGTGCCTTGGAACTCAGACTCAATGTGGGACCTGATTCATTAGACTGTGCTTAGGGTTCTTCTCTGGCTGTTTATCGAATCACAAGGTTTCTACAGATCTTGCACAGGTTTCCTTCCGACGATTTTGGGCTCGGGATGCAGCGTCTTGGATCGTGCAAAAGGCTAGGCCACACCCGGCAAAACAGTATCGTAGCCCACATACCTCATAAGAAGAATCCGAACACGAAGACCCCCAACAAAAGCCAAGGCCGGGTTCAGGGGATGAGGCTATGTACTTCTACAAGGCCCGATCCTCACTCTGAAGGAACCCCCCAGACGTCCTTAAAGCCTAAGCCGACACCCCTAAAGCCCTCAATCCTTCAAGCCAGCAAAGTGAACCTCCCTGGTGCCTCAGATTCACGGCGCGAGATACGAGGCGTGGCTTCGGGGGCAGCCTCCTTCAAACTTTGAAAAAAATCGATCGATGATACCTAAACCCTAAACCCTAAACCCTAAACCCTAAATCCTAAACCCTAAATCCTAAGGCTTGGGATTTCCGGCCTTGGGATTCAGTGCGGCAGGGTTTAGGGTTGCTGCAGGGGAAGAGGAGGACGACGACGACCACCCCGAAGCTGGCGGTGACGCGTTTAGGCCCGAGCGCTCGGGAGCGCGGGCCTGGGAATTTAGGCAAGGGGGTGAGTGACGTGCTTGTTTGCTCACAGGACTCTGTGATGTAACGCATTCAAATCAGATGGTGAGAGGACTTCGATTAGAACTTACGGTTTAGGGTGTTCTCCGGGTGTCGGACTTGAAATTGCAGGTCGGGCGGAACTCGCACAATCCGGGACGGCACTCGGTTGTTCAGGGGGCTTTCACGTGCGAGCATCTGGCAGCGGCAGCATCGGCACTTCTCGCCTGTGCCTGTTGCAGTCGGATCTCGAAAGTACCCAATGAAGCGTAAGCTTGGCTAAGTTCTGCTGCGGAAGACTGGGACGAATGAAGCCATCTCGGTCCAGGAATGGCCCATTCCACGACCCTCGCAGCGGTGACTGCAGTATCTTTCCAGCAGGCGCAGGACCTCCAAGGAGAAGAAGACTGGGTGGCCGCGGTCATGTAGGGGCCTTTGGAATCGGGTTTGGGGGCCCATGATACTATAATTATAATAAGAAACCCCAAACATACTATAGGCAATTATCTAGGCCCCTATATGAACACCCCGGCCAGCGCCATGCCTTTGACCTGGCATGCCTCGAACCAGTGTCTCCTGCGCAGACAACGGAACCGTCGGCTATAACCACTATACCCATAGGCCCCATAGTAGTTCCTTTTTGGGGGTTACCTTATAGGATTCTACATACGAACCCCAACAAGGAACTACTTTAGGGCCTATGGGTACACTATAAACCGTGAGATGCCAACTGCTCCATAGTAATCTTCAGGTTGGTATCCAGCCGGGACTTGTCACTGTCAGCGACATAGGCAGCTAAACCCCATTCAAACCCAAACCCTAAACCCTAAACCAGGAAGCTCGTGACAGAGCTGGCAGTGCCCTTGACGTTCAGCGTCGCGGCGGACTCTCACCAGCCCTCCGGACCGTTTGTCCTCCGTTTCGAGCATGCCGTGGAAGAGAGAGACACCGCGGCCCTGTTTCCGTCCAGGCTCCCAGCTGCCACACAGAAAGCCAGATCCAGGTTGTCACATTGAACACTGCTATCCAGGATCTCGGGGGCAAAGGCTGCTGACCAGGCCGTGACACGCCCTCTGCTCGGTCTGATCCGCTGCCGCCCGAGGCAAAGTTTGCACAGGCCGATTGATCACAGCCACTTCTGGGACACGAATGAAGTGCACTCCTCTCGGGTTCGCTGCACGTCATGTGGTCGGCCTGCTGCATCTTCTCTTTCAAAGAGAAGATCTCTTCAGGCCGCCCCATGCACAAGGCCTTGGCCAGATCGGCGGCATCCACACGCATCACCCGCAGACAGATGTCCTGCTGCAGGGCCTCGCAGCCGCTGATCTTTGCAAGTGTCCGCAGCAAGTCTGTTAAGGCTTTAAGGAGTCATGACTGCAGGTCCAGCTCAAGGCAAATTGCCTGCACAATCTTATGCCGATGCATGTGCGCACATAGAAGCAAACATCACCGTCGTGCCTTTCTCTCTCTTATGAATGAACTCATGGGGGTGTTCGTGTGGGGGAAGGCATGACATGATCTGACATGTAAGGGAGTGATACTAAACACTTCTGAACCACACTCAGTGCAGATTGTTCCCCCACCCCACATACAGCATAGGCATAGGCACTGCAAAGTTGCAGCGAAGAAAAGAGGGATGCTTGATACAAGAAATGAAATTATGCTTCTGTGGTTTAGGGTGGGTTTAAAGCATGAATTTATGCTTCTGTGGTTTAGGGTGGGCTTGGGTTGCAGGATTTGAGGTTTAAGGCTGTAGGGTTGCAGGGTTTAGAGGCTGAGGCTTCGAGGTAGGGTTCCCGTCCTCACTTCGCTGGCTCTTCAGCAGCAGCACCTGTTCTTGGAGTTGAAGAGAACGGTTTGGGGTTTCGGGCTTCGGGTTCAGGGTTTCGGGTATAGGATTTAGGGGGTAACAGACTCAAAGATTGCTTAAACACATACTAGAGGCACCTTGAAAATGAGAGTGCCGATCCTGGGCCGGGTTCCTGGGAGGGTCCTTAATCAACAGAATAAGCCTTTGAAAGTTTAGGGTTTAGGGTTTAGGGTTTGGGGTTAAGGCTTTAGGGTTAAGGGTTTAGGGTTTAGGGTTTAGGGGTATATCATGGTATAATTACGATCAGGAAATCTAGGGGAAGGCGTCGATACTACGTTCTATCCCTGCAGCCCTTGTTGGAGCTGCTTCCTCCGTACCTGCCTCCGGATCTCGAGCCTCATACTCATGCTATCACTAAGATGTACCCCAAAAACTTGTTCCAGCTATAAAGGCTTGTGTATTAAACCCGACAAGGAACCCTTTGAGGAACCCGCACAGGAACCGTACTCCAATGCTTAAGGCAACTGGTAGTAACCCTTCAATCAGCTCGTGTCTGAAGCTACCAAGCCAGATCCGGGGCTCTGAAATGTTACAGACGACTGGCCCTGCTAGCACAAACAGGCCCCCCACATCAAGCGAACATGTTCTTGTGTTAAGTTGGGGTTTAGGGTTTAGGATTTAGGGTGAACCAGAAATGCCCGCCAAACCCCAGATTCTGAGCCCAAACCCCTGAGTGTATACTTATGCCCTGAACCCTCAAAACCCAAAACCTTTACACGCTCAATACAACCCTGAAACCGACCTTCGTACAACCTTTCTATAAATCCTTTTGAAAACCCGTACCGAACCCTTCAAGAAACCATTATAGAAACCCTGTAAGCCGCCCTAAAACCCAAAACTCCAAAGCCAAAGCCCTAAACGGCCCTAAACACCAAACTTACACCCTCCCTGAACCCCCAGCCTTCTGTAAGCCTTAGACCCAACACCCTGCAAAACCTAAAACCCCCAAATCGCGCCTAGAATCTTCATAATGAGAACCCTTATAGACCCCCAAACCCTAAAAAATCCTTATACAACCTAAATCCTAAACCCTAAACCTAAACCCTAAAGAATCCTTATGCAACCTCAACCCTAAACCCTAAACCCTAAAGAATCCTTATAGAACCCCTTACAGAAACCTTTCATCAAACCCGCATCGCCGCCTCTGGGTCCTTTGCCTGCGGTGTGCCGGCCTCGCGCAGCAGTGACGCCTCTGTCTCTTCGCTTGTTTTAGGGCCGTCTCTTTCAGGGTTTAGGTTTCAGGATTTAGGGTTTTGTTCAGTTAAGGTTTCTTCAAGGGTTTCCTTTAAGAGTTTCTAAAAGGGTGTCTAAAAAGGTTTCTGTAAGGGTTTCCGTACGGGTTTAAGGCTTGGGTTGACGGCTTAGGATTTAGGGTTTAGGCTCTTTGAAGATTTTAGGGTTTCGGCTTTCCGGGTGTTTAGCGTTTAGGGCCTAGGCTTTGGGGTCTAGGGCTTACCGTTTAATGTCATTCTACCTCTGTTTAGCCCCTGAATATGACTATACAAGAACAACCCGTCTTCTGACCGTCTTTCTGACCGTTTTCTGTACGATTACCCCCTAAACCCTAAACCCCAAACCGGTTTAGGGTTTAGGGTTTAGGGTTGCCCGTGATGGCCGAGCCTACAGAGTTGGGCTCACTGTCCGAGAGCTGTCGCAAGAGCCACAAGGTAGGATTTAGGGCTTAGGATTTGGGAGTTGAGGGTTTAAAGTTTAGGAACGAGCGTCTCCTTGCGTTTAGAGATCTCCCTATACATAGCTGTACAATAGTCCTAGTCGTCCCTTCT